TCCCACTTTCAAGACAAGGCCTAACCAAGATTAGATTAAGGTGAGCCTGCTACGAAAAACTATGCAACTGATTCTCTTGCATTAAGAAATCCTTATGTAAGTATTCCCCCCCTTACAAATGGTTCTTGGATATTAGGATTTTATAAAAAAGATCAGAATTGCACAGACATAGAGTTTGGCTGAACCATAAACTTGCTTATTAAAATGCAAAAAGCCTCGAGTCTAGTCTAAATAGCTTTACACAACACCTTGATTGATTCAACTGAATTAAATCCCTCCATGTTTTAACCTTAGCTCTCACCCAAACACACATGATCATGACTTATTACAAAAACCTTTACTGAAAAAACACAGGTAAAACTCCTGTTTCTGCCCCAGGCCATGCTCAATTCAGACCCACACACACGCTGAATCTGATTGATAATCAGATAATTAATAATTGATTAGTTAAAATTTCAGCCAAAATATCCCTCGATTTGGCTGATCACTTGCATTCCTACACTCAGTTGGTCCTTCTAATGAGAACTTTCTATCTGTGACAACGCCGTGTGGAGCTGGAGGAACACAGCGGGCCAAGTAGGGAGGGGGAAGGGAGCTGGGAAATAAAGAGAGAGAGAAGAGATGGGGTTGGGGAAGGTAGGTGGGGTCTTTAATCCTGGTGAGTGTTTGTCGTAGAGTGGCTGCAGGCTTGTGTGCTACCATGATTCCTAGTGGTCTTAGGAGTCTCATTGTCAGTTCTGAAATGCTCCTGATGTAGGGTAGTGTGGCCAGTGTGTTCAGGCGTACTGTGCCCTCTTGTTGTTGTCTATTATAAAGACCCAATTTCCACAACATGCAGAATCAATGTAGTTTACAAAATACCATGCAACTACTGTCACAAACATTACATCGGACAGACAGGAAGGAAACTAACCATCAGAATACATGAACATCAGCTAGTAGCAAAACGACACAATGAACTTTCCTTAATATCAGTACACTCGGACAATGAAGACCATCAGTTTAACTGGGACAACGTAACTGTAGTAGCCAAACCAAACTCAGACACGCACGGGAATTCCTAGAGGCATGGTTCTCAACCCGTAATGCAATCAACAAACATACAGAATTGGACCGCGTATACAAACCCATACAAAACAAAACCGGAAATGACACTACTCACCCTAATGGACTGGACAGTGTAAATTCCAAGCGAAGTAGAACAACATTGTTTCATCAAAGGCCTCACTGATGATATTACCCACCTTGGTGACGAAAGTCTGAACAAAAATAAGCCAGCTCGGCGAGCAAGTCAACAACCTCACACACAACCCGAGCTACAAATCTTTGCTAAAACATTCAAGTCATTTTTGAAGTGTGGTGTCATGAATGCTTCAAATGCAGTCATTTTTACAAACTTGAAATTTGAAGAATTGTTGATACCAGGACTTTTGTTTTATAAAAGGGATAAACAACAGGATATACACATTTTTATAAAACAGCATGTTTGGTAGTCACATATCTCGCAATGATTGCTTACTTACTGGACACCTCCTGCCTGGGTTTACAACTTGTCAGGCTGCAAAGTGTGTTTTTGCATATTGCTTAGTCATTGGTGATTAGCCTGTGAAGGAAGACACCTTCACAGCTTTCTCGCTGTTCCTTGAAAAGAACACTTGTGGGTCTGGTCTCTCCAGAAGCTTTGACATGAGAAAGTTGCCAAACTGCTTCTGAAAGTATCCCCAGTGACAACCGCATGCATTCTGTGACACATTTGTGCACCAGAACATCAGACCGCAGTCACCTTGAACATCTCAAACGTAATCTGTTTTGCTTTCATTGACTATGACATATTGTTCAAAAATCTTTATCTTTGCCTTGTGCGTATGTGTGCTGAGTTATTTAGAGGGGTAAAAATGTATCTTTTCAAATTACAAACTTAACTTATTTTGTTGAGAAGATGTAAAATTGTTTGCTTTCTATAATTAAATCAATAATCGTCATTTGGTCATTAGTAGCTAAATATTGCTGAAAAGACATTTCGTTGAAACTTTTCATCTTGCACAAGTATGAAAACGTAGTTTTCCCCTTACAGTAATATGAGAAGAGAGGCATTATATTCTCCACGGCAGCAGTTACTTGATGACTGTCAGTTTTGATTAAATTTAAATCCAAGCAAGTTGACTGATTTCTGAGGACATTGCCCTAAGAAATTTACCAGAGAATGCCCAGTTTCAACTCAAACAGATGACAGACTTGTATGTGTTTTGTTCCTGTCTGGGGTGTCAAAGAACAGCGTGGCACAGTAGTCCAGCAATTAGCACTGCTGCCTCACAGTGCCACGGACCTGGATTTGATTCCACTCTTGGGTGACTTTGTGTGTGGAGTTTGTACATTCTCCCCATGCCTGTGTGGGTTTCCTCCCACAGTACAAAGATGTGCATGTGCATGGGCATGGGCAAAGATAAACATTGCCTTTTTTTAAAAAAAATTATGTACTGGTTGATCGAAAGGTGGCTTGGCCATGCTAAATTGCTCATAATGTGCAGGCTAAGTGGACTCAATGGGCCAAATGGCCTGCTTCCATACTGTAGGGATTCTATGAACAGGGTTTGTGCATTTATATGTGCAGCTTCAAATATATGCAAGCATGTCACACTGCAATCCCAACTGAATCTTAAACTGATTGTCAGCATAATTCTTAGCACATTCAGAATTACTTAACAAATAGGATCCAACTGCAGAATCAGATTTAATGTTGTATATTGCTTTGCATTTTGCAAGCACAGGCTAGATGGGTCAGTATGGTACAGTCAATATGTTGCTTGTTGTGAACATCTGAAAGTCAATTTAAGAAAAGCCAAAAAGATTGTCATTCAAATGAGTGATCCAGTATGCAAATTTCAGTACCAGTGTGATACCATATATACAGGTTGTATATTCTTATCAACTGGTGGATTATATGAAACAGTGTCTCCCTCTGGCTGTTTGCTTGTAAAACAATCAACACTCTTCTCATACAGTACATAAAGGTTATTTCTCCTATATAGAGGTGTTTCGTATGCACGATCCTTATGAATTCAAGACAAAATATCTATTTGGAGTAATAAATCAATAATCTGGGAATCAAGAAAGGTTAATTGTACTTTTAATCAAATCTAGAGAGACATGTAACTAGCCATATCAGGAAGTAGGTAAACTAATTATATTTCTGTTGTAACTTGTGGAGAGTAGTACTGGAGAAAGACAGTGCACACCTCCCATGTCAGTTATAACAGTAGTTACAGCTAGCAGGCAAAAAACACAGCAGCCAACTTATGCACAGCAATGTCTACAGACATGTGATGATTGGACAAATCATTCTTCCACAAATGTTACAAATAATTTAAAAGTGCATTATGTTTTGGGGCTGTTTCAAATAAAGGTTAAATGGAGCAGAGGTGTCAAACGACTGTTCAAAGTCATACTCGCTAACAAGCTTTACAGGGAAGTGTTAGGAATATCAGATTTTATTAATGGCTATACTTTAAACTATTTAATTTTAATATAAAATGGAGTTAGAGGTTTAGAAGATATTAATTCAGCATTTCTACCCAGACACAAGATTGATGATACACACTGGACTCTGAAAGGGAAACAGGCTTTAGAAAACTACTACACTAACAGTATTCAAGGGTTTTTTTTCCCCAAACTCAATTTATTCTAAAAGGGAAGCCACACTGCAGGAGTGAGTGAGAAGGGTGAAAAGAAATCATTCCATTTGGTTGCCAGGTGTGGACTGCAAATCAATAGGATGTTACCATACTTGGAAGAACTTGAGTGCCAGAAGAGATTACAGAATGAGCAAGGCACTGAAGGGACACGGGCAAAGATAAACATTGCTTTTTAAAAAAAAAAATATTATGTACTGGTTGATCGAAAGTCAATTAAAGTTGTCAAATGCAAGAGTAAAAAATTCCCAGAATGAGTTGCAATTTTGGAGTTAGGTTAGGTAGGAGAGAGATTTGGATTCCAAATCTGGAATCAAAAAGGTGTGAATTAACATTTCAGTGGCAATGAGAAACAGTAAAGATAGGGGTACAAACAGGTGATGCAAACAGAAAAGTAATGGTCTTTTGCAAGTCAAGAAACAGGAATTGAAACTCAATTTGTCATCTAATAGGATGCCAAGGATTTCCTATAGTGGGTGTGGGCGAGTCGAAAAAAGCTGAAATTTTAGGTCATGAACTCCAAGGCAACAAGACGCATTCTGGAGCTTCCACCGCTACCTTCCCCCCTCCCCAAACACAATTTTACCTAGGGTTTACAAGAAATTTCAAACTTCGGTCAGTGTGGGGAAAAAAAAATTGCAAAATATCAATTCACAATGTATGCCTCAGAAGTAGTGTAGTGTGAAAGACAGAGATAAATGGAGTTGGTTTCATTGTTTGCAATCCTCTGCCTTTCCATCCCCTGGAGATTCTATGGCTCTACCTCGTTAATCTCTTCCATATGATCAACGGGGTATTCTATTCAATCCTAATTCTGATTGTTTGATCACTTACTTGAAATAGAATAGGATTAGGAAGGAGATGGGGCTGAGGGTAGGGCGAAAAAGGATAGTGGATGGAGGTGAATTGCTCCTTTCCAAATCAGAATAGATACGTCCAGCTCAGCTCAGAACTAGAGAAGGGTCTCGGCCCGAAACGTCAGCTTTCCTGCTCGACCTGCTGTGTTTATCCAGCTCTACACCTTGTTATCTCAGATTCTCCAGCATCTGCAGTTCCTACTATCTCAGGTCAGAACTATTCTGCATTCCTTAAATGATAATTGATAGAACTGAAAGGTTTTCCAGTCGTTTTAATTCTAAATTAAATCTACCCCTCGCCACGTCGAACGAACACGTCAAATCATTCAGCGTGGAAACACTTACAGCTCCTCCCGCTAGATCTTGTTTAAAGCTACAGGGTGGATCTCAACAATTACACGCCTCCCAGGAACAGGCTCCGATCAACTGTCAATCATTCACCGCCACGTCCTCTTTTATTATTCAGGTGAAAACATGTTCGTTCCCTTCGCGACCTCATTAACTTGCTGAAACACAAGCAATCAAAATAAAAAAGAACTGCGGATGCTGGAAGATATGAAACAAACAAAAACAGAAATTGCTAGGGAAACTCAGCAAGCCTGACAGCATTTATGAAAAGGGAAAACAGAACGAACGTTTCGAGCTTGATGACCGTTCTTCAAAACTGGCGACATAAACTGCCCAGAGTTTATACCCGCCCGTTGCCAAGCTCTCATTGGAAAATGTCCACGTCAATCAGATAATTAGACTAAGGCGGCCATATTTCGAGACGAAAAGGAGGGAGACAAAACCAAGATACATACATATTAGCTCTGAACCGACCAGAATGTCTTACCGGTTAATGGTGTACGACTTTTGGGGGTTCTGTAGAACAGTTAAGATTTGAACGGTGTCACGTGGCCGTTTCCTGGGTGATCCCAGTGAAGGTTCGGTGGTGAAACCGTGTCTCGCGAGCACGGGTTCTGTTGCCTTGGTGACCCTTAGACCCTCGCCCTCTGGATTTACCTGCGGAGCGCAGGTTGGGCTTTGTTGTTCTCGCTGGCCGTAGGTCCGCGATGGGTCACGGACTGAAATGCGGTGTTGCCTTCTCCTTCTTCGCTGTTTTTGCGGCATACTGGTACCGGCAGCAAGTGGGCAACGAGCTGGACTCGCGTTTAGAGACTGTGTTGACTTCGTTGTTGAAAGCCGAGAGGAAAGTGGATCTGAACCGGCGGCCCCGAGTGGCAGTAGGTAGGCAATCGGAGATCACCTTCACATATCTTATGTGCTCCGTCGTTGTCTATTATTGAATATTTTTCTGAAAAAAAAACAGTTTTAAAGGCCATGCAAATGTAAGATTAGTTGACCTTGTTCAACATTTTACATTTTTTCAATATTGGCGCAATATCTTCATTGTCCTTATGTTGCTTCAGTGGAGAGTCTTTAAACACACTATAAGCTGCACAGCTCTTATTTTATTTCAGTTGCACCTCTCTGGTCTGGATTTCAGTTGTGCAAATCTTTCGATCTCAGCTGTGTCGCCTTAATTTCATGTATTTTGTTCCTATACCAGAAGTGAAGAGGGGATTTGGAGAAAACACCTTTAGAAAAGTTAGCATTCAAATGAGTGGCGAAAGTATAAATGCACATTGCTAGATGTTAGATAGCAGGCCCATCTGTTTTAAAAAAAACAGATGCTAATTCTTTTTATAACTGAAAGTTGTACGTTAAAGGTCTTGTGGAATGAGGAGGAAAATAGTCTACTTTAGTTGAATCACCAAGAGGAAATTAATGGGCTGAAGTATCTAAAATGTTCCAAAGCAGAAAGCAATACAACTTAAAATATACAATATCTCTAAAAATCCTGCATATGCAGGCACTTCCTGGTTTCACGGTTTTTGATATGCATTTATGTTATAACTAATTTTTTTTTGTGTTGCTTTAGCTAAACTGGAAGTTTTATCATAAGTGTTAAAACCAGTAGTGGTACTAAAGCCACTGGTGGCTTAGGATAACTTGCAATAATACCAATCAAATGGGAAGCACATGCTCTACCAAAGGATAGAGCTGATTGGTTGATAAGTGGCTTAGTAGTAGCTTTGCCATGGGGAATGTACAAATTTAGGATTTTCAGTCACATTATGACAGACTGTATTGGAAATTTTATAGGTCAATACAAAGTGTATGTGCTGTCTTTTGTAGACAGTGCATATACACACTCTGCCTGTTTGGACTCAGTAAAATAGGTGACACCTGTTTGATTCATTTCTCAGGGCACTGTCTTGACTAACCAATGTTATTTGTCTTTAACTGATTCTCCATGACAGTATCTTGACCAGTCAGAGCCCACTTCCCAACCAATTGAGCATTTTACTGACAAATGTTAGTTTTCCCCTTATTCTGGTATTTTGTGAATTATCCTGATGAGTGCAAGATGAGAAGCTTCAATAAACTGTGCCTTTTTTTCAGCAATGCTCAACAACTGGGAGTGTAGATTTAAGGTAAGGGACGGGGATGTGCGAGAAACAAATTTCACCCAGAAGGTATTAGGAATCTGAAATTTGCTGCCTGTAAGGGTGGTAGAGGCAGAAACCCTCCTAACGTTTCAGTGTTTATATGAGCACTTGCAATGTCAAGGCAGACAACACTATGGGCTAAGTGCTGAAAAATGGGATTAGAATAGTTAGGTGCTTGTTTTTTTTTTAAACCAGCATAGACTCGATGGGCCAAGACTATTTTTCTGCACTGTAGACCTCTAATACTCTGATTCTGTACTGTCAAATGACATAACTTTTATAGTTGGAACAATATTTTTCAAGTTGAATCTGTTGTGTAGAAATTGGGCACCTTCCAGTCCTGTAGAAGTCCAAAGAAACTGGCAAACTGTCCGTGCTTGTATTTGTTGGGTATTCAGCAAAAAACAAATGTTTGTATAAAATTGTGCATATGTACGTGTTGCATTCTCCAGGACAAAGTGGAGATATTCTGATTACCCTAAGAGTTTCTGTATCTAGAAGCACCTAGGGTTTGAAAGCATCACAAAGGGGATTCTAGATTCTGTAGTTGGAGTGGCTAGCAGGCAAGCCTAGGGAAAGAGTTTGAATCTGGAAGGGACCAGACTCTGAGTGTGTGGGGTGATCTGGTGATATTTGAGGCAAAATGATAGTGCAGTGACAAATGGAATACCATAATCTGTGTATTTATGTTGCGTTTGCATAACAATATTTTCTTCTATTTGATTTTGTGAAGGTATTGCTTGTATTTGAAAACATCTGTTACTACTGATTTATTAATGGGGAGATGGCGATGTTGTGTTAATGTCTAAAAATCCAGACATGCAGGCTAATGCTGCTGTTTCAAATGCTGCTGTCAGCTGCTGGAATTTGAATTTAATTAATACAAAAGAAATCTGGAATATAAAACCAGTCTCTGTATTGGTGACCATGAACCTGTCATTAACCTATCTGGTTCACAATTGTCCTTTAAGGGAAGGAAATCTGCCATCTTTACCGAGTCTGGCTGACATGTGACTCCAGATTCACAGCAGTACGTTGACTAGCAACCCACTCTATTCTTGGGCAGTTGGAGATGGGCAACAAATACTGGCCTTGCTGGTCATTCCACATCCTGTGAACGAATAAATATGAAAAATGAACTTTTTAATGTTGCTTGATTAAAGGACACTTTGCCACTGTGCTGATATCATGCTGTTTATATTGTATCTGTAAGAAACAAGTTTTTAAAGAAGTGTTAGCTTGCAAAGTGTAGAGGGAGGGAGGCCTTTTGATCTGTTCATAAACCAATAACTACAAAGCAAAGCAGGAATCTGCATGGTAGCATGTTTTAATCGTGTTCGCCAGTTATAGATTTAACAGTGCAGGAGCAAAGGACTTTGGATGTTGGACATCTGGAATAAAACCAAGTACCAAATCTGTTGACTACTTATTAAATTCTCTGTTATTATAATGTTACCTGTTAATTTCTTGTGCACTAGTGTGACTGCAATTATGTTTTGTCAATTTTGTCTTTCCAAGAATGGGAAATTAAGCAGGAATAAGGCAGAACTGGATAATTCAAAGGCCCCTTGAAGAAGTCTGTAATGGTTGAGGTGGTCAGGAAAATCATTGGGGATGTGCTACATAAAGGACTTAGAATAACAACAACAACTTGCATTTACAAAGCACCTTTTTTTTAAACTGTAACAAAACATCCCCAGACACTTAACAGAATGGATTTATCAAAGACCATTAAAAATCTTGTGTGATCCACCAAATAATTGATGACAGGAAGTTAGGGTTTTAGTTCTTGTTAACTTGCCAAAAGGTGATAGAAGCAGGTTCTATTGCAATTTTCAAAAAGGAAGTAGATAGTTGAAAAGGAGAAATTTACAGGGCTTGCAAAAAGGACCTGGAAATGGATCTGACTAGAATAGTTCTTTGAAAATGCATACAGCAATATAATGATTGCCATACAAGCTGGACTTAACTTTCTTTTTAAATATTAATCATACACTTCTTATTTCGGCCTTGCTTGTAGGTTTTGGTGGCTGTCTTGACATTGTGGCAGATGGGATTACACTGTTAAAGAAAGCTGGCATCAAACCAAGCAAGAATGCTGTCCACCATAATTTCATCACATCAGAAGAGCAGTTGGCTGAAAGCTTTGCATACTTCTTTCCTCCTGGAGCTGCATCTGAGTAAGAAATTAGCATGAATGAAATTTAGCGTATTGAACATAGACTTTTAATCAAAAGTTTGGTGATGTTTTACAATCTCTGGAGAATAAATAATATAGTAACTACAATTAGGAGATGGCATTGAATTTTTTTTTTGGGGAAGGAAATCTATCATTCCTACCTGATTTGGCTTTTTTTACTCCAGACCCACAGTAACATGGTTGACTCTTAACTGCATCTGGACAGTTAGGGTGGGCAATAAATTCTAGCTGAGCCACATCCAATGAACTAATAATTTAAAAACAAAAATTCAAACATTATCACTTTGATTTCATTCAAGGAGAGCAGCAGCAATTTTGATTTGGCTGATCGTCATAAGTATAGTACTTGACATTCCTTCATTTTTAAAGGATTGTGCTGTGAATTGAGATTACATTTAGCAGTAACTTATTTCAAAACTGTTTTGATAGTATAACTATTAAGTGTCTGTTGGTAAATCAGTTGTCATACAGCCTTGTGCTTTAGTAGTTTTTGACCAAATCGTCATATTGCCACACAATTGCAATACTACTACTTGTGGATTTAATAGTACTAGAATAGACTCTTAAATTATTTTTGTGAGCTGATGTGTAGAGCACAGAGAATCATGCACAAGGGCTATAAATTTTTGTATGCCTTAAAGTGAGATGCTTTGGCTGAGAAATTGAATATTTTTGTGTAATTGTTCTCAGTTAATGAATGCAAAGTAACTTCACGCTGATGCTATATTGCAAAGGCGCCTTTAACTGTTTACCGTGCTTGCTTAGGGAAGCTACAACAATGGCAAGTACACATGGTGGAGAAACATTTACACTGATCTATTAATAATCATAAGAGTTTAGGTTAGTGCTGCATTATTAGGGAAGAGTAGACTTTGCACTATATCTGTTCTTGTTATGATGTGTCACTCGGTGTAAAGTTTTTTTTTAAAGTGCCAGCACAAGTGTTTCTCTGAACACTAAAGGACTTTGAGACAACAAGGTGCAGGGCTGGATGAACACAGCAGGCCAAGCAGCATCATAGGAACAGAGAGGCTGACGTTTCGGGCCTAGACCCTTCATCAGAAAAGGGGGAGGGGAAGGGGGTTTTGAAATAAATAGGGAGAGAGTGGGAGGCGGATAGAGGAGAGGATAGGTGGAGAGGAAACAAACAGATCGAAGAGGCGGGGATGGAGCCAGTAAAGGTGAGTGTAGGTAGGGAGTTAGGAAGGGGATAGGTCAGTCCAGGGAGGACGGACAGGTCAAGGGGGCGGGATGAGGTTGGTCGGTAGGAGATGGAGGTGCGGCTTGAGGTGGGAGGAGGGGATAGGTGGGAGGAAGAACAGGTTAGGGAGGCAGGGACGAGCTGGACTGGTTTTGGGATGCGGTAGGGGGAGGGGAGATTTTGAAACTTGTGAAATCCACATTGATACCATTGGGCCGCAGGGTTCCCAAGCGGAATATGAGTTGCTGTTCCTGCAACCTTCGGGTGGCATCGTTGTGGCACTGCAGGAGGCCCAGGATGGACATGTCGTCTGAGGAATGGGAGGGGGAGTTGAAATGGTTCGCGACTGGGAGGTGCAGTTGTTTGTTGCGAACCGAGCGTAAGTGTTCTGCAAAGCGGTCCCCGAGTCTCCGCTTGGTTTCCCCGATGT